GAAGAAGAAGAAGAAGAAGAAGAAGAAGAAGAAGAAGAAGAAGAAGAAGAAGAGGCTTTGTTGGCTACCCTTCTTGTTTTGAAACTTACCCCCCCCCAAACCACTGAAACAAACAAACAGACACACACGCACACACATACACAAACACACACAAACAAGCACGTACACACACTGCACACACACGCACACACACACACACACACACACACACACACACACACACACACAAAAGCTATCAATACACATCTTGCATTGTCATCAAAGGTGGGTTTTTATTTTAAGACTCTGAATTTGGCGACTTTTGCAAGCAGTTAAAGAGACCAGCGCCCTCTCCCACAAAACCAATAACAAAACAACAAAACTGCAAAACAACAACAGCAATAAAAAACCAAAAACCAAAACAAAACACACAAAAAACAACAAACTAAACAAAAAATAACAAGACAAAACAAAACAAACAACCCTCCCCCAAAACCCCCCATAAAACCCCCAAAACAATAAAAATCACAACCCAAAAAGAAACTACCCCCCCCAAAAAAAAACAAAACAACAACAACAACAACCCCACAAAAGAAACAAGCAAACTAAAAATAAAACCAATAACCAAAAGAAAAAAAAAAGAAAAAAAGAAAACGTAACCGCTCCCCCAAGAAAAAAAAAATTGATGATGATGATGATGAGGATGATGATGATGATGATGATGATGATGATGATGATGATGATGATGATGATGATGATGCTGATGATGCTGATGATGATGATGATGATGATGATCGTCTTGCTGCTTTTGTAAACGATTTCATAGTTTATAAAGAAATGATTCCATTTCAGATAACGGTGGGGTTGCTGCTGCTTCTGCTGTTGCTGTTGCTGTTGTTGCCGATGTTGCTGATGTTGGTGTTGCTGCTCCTGTTGCTGCCAATACTGTTGTTTCTTCTCCTGCTCCTGCTGCTGATGCTTGATCACGCCGCTATGAAAATGCTGTAGGATGTGCCATTGCTGCTGCTCCTATTTCCCCTTACCATGAAGGCAAAGATAACAACTAATACTGAAAAGACCAAGGTTTGAACAATAATTTTTAAAAAAATGATTTAATTCTTTAATTAAAATAATTTTTACCCCCTGGGGCAGTGCCACTGACTGAAGTGTCTTTAGGCCATTCCCAAAGGGGGGACATTTCTCGTTCAAGCGCAGTAGAATTGTAAATGGGCTGATTCATGTCACGCTCATAACTGTGCCTGATCGACAACAGGGAACTGCTGCTTTTTCTTTCCTAATCCTTACTATTGCCATTTTCCTCTACTTCTTTGGTATGTGTGTCATTGTCTTGTGACCTGCTATTTTTGGGGTGCCTTGAAAGTCGAAGCAGACTTTGTGCTGTTGAAGCTTGAGAGGTGAGCAGAATAAGTCTGATTCCCTGTAAAGACTTCTCTGTTGACACCCACCCCTTGGCGCTCATATAACTTTATGCAGTTGCGAGTGCCGTAAAACCCTCTACTATAAAAAAAGTTATTGTGTTCTTACCTTCAGAGTTTCAGGCGTTCTGAAAAATAACATAGTCAGACATTCTTTGAGTGCATTCCCACTCGATTAAAATTAGATTGGACAAGATTTCCCAAAAGAAACTGGGAAGGGGGGAAGGAGGGTGGAGAAGCATCTCACACTCTACCCTTATGGTTATTAATTATTTCCAAAGCCCCCCCTCCCTCCTAACACCTCCTCACCTCTCAAAACCACCCCTTTTCCACCCCTCCTTTTATAAACCTCCTCCACTGCGGCCAAAAATCACGAACAGAAGACAGGATTTTTTCCACAGAAACAAGAAAGGCGAACCGCCTATCAAAAGTACCAAGAGGTCCTCTCGCCATTCGCTGCGCCCAACCGGAAATGAGCAACTTGTTCCGGTGGGGTGTAAAATGCGAGGAGCGCTGAGTAACGTTCTTTGGCACTGTCTTCAGGGGGGCCATGATGAAATAAAAACACAAGGCGTCGATTGATTTGTTGAGCGTTTTTCGGTTTAATACACAGTGCTTGTTTTTATTACGTGATTTTGGAGACTCCGCGCGCTACAGAGGGTGTTTAACGTGACAGATTGTGGGTTGGTTAGTTAGTGGTGAGACGTTTGGGTGTACAGTGAGTATTTTGTGTGTTCATGTACGCGTGTGCATGTGTGTGTGTGTGTGTGTGTGTGTGTGTGTGTGTGTGTGTGTGTGTGTGTGTGTGTTTGCTTTTGTGCATTCGTCTATGTTCTCATGGAATGGAAATATAGACAGTTTATTGTACACGGAAAACTGACTGATGAGTTGTGGGCTGTGTCACCTAAAGAAGACTATCAATAGATAGATAGATATATAGATAGATAGATAGATAGATAGACAGGTAAACTGGCGAATAGATAAATAGATGAACTGAGAGAGAGAAAAAATAATAACCTCCTTCCCCCGCCCAAATGCACCATGCTTAACATCATCACCACCATAATTCGCTCTTTTAAAAAACAATAACAACAAAAAATCGACACCCGAGAGAAATATACTTAAAAAAAACTCAACTCGCCAAACGAGCAGTCACCTTTCAACAACAAAAAGAGAAAATACACGACAGTGTTCGTCTGGTAAAACACTCACGTATGTCAGTATTTCTAACATGTTTGTAATACATGTACTCACGTAACCGTCCCACTTCTCCTCGTTCCTCCCGTCCAATTAGCATTTTCGTTGTTCTTCCAAGTAACATGAGAAGTACTCTCTCCCCCCC